GTCGCGAGCTCCGGGTCTGGCCGCTCGTGGGGCGCCCGGCCGGGAAGCCTCCTCACCGCGCTGCCCGAGGCCTCCCGGGGTGCACGGCCTCCTGGCTGCGGCACGTAGGCTGCTGACCTCGCCTTCGGGGACGCAGGCGAGCGAGGCTGCTGTCCGGTGCGCCACCGTGCACGTGGATTCCTAAGACCTTCGCCCCTCAGTCGCATCCCCGGGTGAGGGGACTCAGAGTTTGCCATAAATCTACAATAAAAACGGGAGCCTGAGAGAGTTTTAGTGGCTTGCTCCAAATCTTGCACAGCTATTGTGGTGAGGAAAGATTTTTACCAAGCCCACTTTTGTTGTTCAGCCTCTTTCCTCTTTCCTGTCAAAGCCTGTTGCACACAAAAGTGTTAATGACGCGCCTAATCCTTTTGTGTTTGCAGATTGACTTGGAATAGGAAAAGCCTGAATACATTATTGTGTGGTGTTTCTCAAATAGAAGACAGTATCGTACACCATTTTAAGGGCAAATTTTTCTTAGACTTCCCTCATCTTGACTTAAATTTTGTTTCGACTTAATTTTTTTTAAATCACTGTAAGTATAGTCAAAGCTAGAGCTAAACGTCGTTATAGCTTCTGAACAACTTCAGAATAAACCAGATTTATACGTTAAATATAAAGGTATCTTGCAGAACAAAAAAAATTAACTTAGCGTTGCTTCCTTGGTAGCAGAAAATGCCACCCCCCCCAGGTTTCAGTTTATTAGTTGCCTAGGTAACCGTTCCTGGGGCGGGGAGATAGCTCAGTAGAATGAGCGCTGGCTTGGTAACAGTTCCTGTTGCGGCTCTCCTCACTCCTGCCGATCAGCAAGGGCTGGCCACTGTGATGCATAGCTTGCCACTGTATGAACCAGTCCCCAGTCGACAAGCCAGTCTGCATCTGCACTGCCCGCTTGCCTATCCCATGTAAGCCCTAGAGCTCCCAGGTCCGGGCCTGATATTCTAGGGAGGATCCAAATCAGCGCTCAATGACGTAAATAAATCTGCCTCCAAATCCTGGATGTCGTTGGTGTTCGTCCTGCTGTTGCAGCTCAACTAGCGCGGTCCGTGGGGTGCTGACTGCTGAGGTGTACAGCGCACTTTGGAGCTGTCCGTGGCTCTGTCACTTTCCTGGTGCGCACGTTGCCTTGTATTAAGTCAGTGGTCTCACCTCTTGCCTACGGTACCTCTTCTGTTTACATTATGTCATTGGCTTCCTTCCTTTTTTTTTTTTTTTTTTTTTCTCTTTCTTTCTTTTTGTCTTCTTGAGACAGGGTCTCGCTATGCAGCTCAGGCTGGCCTTGAGCTCACTTTGTAGCCCAGGCTAGCCTTGAACTTGCAGTGATCCTCCTGCCTCCCAAGTGCTGGGATGACAGGCGTCTGCCCCCATACCGGGCTTGTCATTGGCTTTCACTTGCCCTTTATGGATCCTTGTGCTTTCCCTTTCTTGGTGAGCAGAGGAGTAAAGTAGGATCTTGAGTAGAAACAGTGCACACAGGCACTGAAAGGCAGATGTAGAACTTCATGAGAGATGATCACCCCAGTAATTCAGAGTGGGCTTTTGTTCCTTTTATCCTAAAAACAGGGGGCCTGCCACTTAGCTCAGTTCTTTAAGTGGCTGCTTCAACAAAGCAGTCAGGCTCAGGTTGCTGTGGTTCGATACCCCCAACTCAAGCCAGCCAAACATGCCCCGAAGGCATTTGGAACAACAACAACAAAAAATCATTCTAACTTTTTTTAAAAAGATCAGTCTTTAGGGCCGGGGAGATGGCTCAGTGGAATAAGCACTTGCCTGGCAAGCTCAGGGGCCTGAGTTCAACTCCCGGTTCAGAAAAAAAAAAAATCCTAAAAACAAGAACAATTGAATTATGGATCTTTGAAGGGTTAGGAGCTCCCAGATGGAGAGACACCATTAAAAGGCAAAAACCTTTTTTGGGGAATTGCAACGTGGTTGAAGGGAGAGTTTTCGTATCTGCTCAGGTTTCATTAGGTTTATTCCAATCAAGTATTCACTGAACACTTACTACATACAAAACATTGCCCTCGCACAAAATGAAAGTGATGGTCACGTTAGACAGTGCAGCAACACAGGGTGCACCAGGGGCTCCAGTTCCGTGAGTGGGCGCTGTCTCAGTGTGCGACCTTCCAGCTGTGTGGCCCTCGGCTTTTCCGTGCCTCAATTTCCTCTTCTATAAAATCAGGCTACTTAAAGCCATACGGTTGTTTTCAGAATGGAATGACTGTGCTATGGTTTAAACCTAAAACACCTTCCAAAGCCTTATGTGTTGGAGGGGGATTGGGTTATGGGGCCTAACTGACTTGCTGTAGGAGGCAGGGTCTGGTTAGAGAGGGGACCAGCCTTCTGGCCGCTTGTGTGGGCGTGCCGCCCAAGGGCTTCTCTCCCTTCCCTGCTTCTCACTTGAGTCTCAGCTTCCCATACACCAGGGGGTGAACAGCTATTCCTCCGTGCTGCCCTGTCCCACCTTGGAGCCGGCTGACTATGGAATGAACATGAGCCAAAGCAGAGCTTTCCTTTTAGTTGCAGGTATCAGATATTTTCTCAATGATGAAAAACATGAGTTAGAGTGAATGTGCATAAAAGACTTCGAGCCATTCCTTAACCCGCACTGAGGCCTCCTAAGTATTAGCTGCTCCTTTGGTCCTGCTGAAGGAGCGCGCCTCAGCTCTGCTTTGGAGCGTGGTCCTCCAGCACTGCTTGAGCCCACTTCGGGATTCGTTATTCTTCTGCTTAGCAGCTGCACTGTTTTGTGGTATAGTATTAGAGACCCTCGTGATCATTGCCATCATTCAGAAAGAGAATCGAAGACACAGAAGGGTGCAAGCGCACACCTCTCCCTCAGCTGATTTTAGGGCTGTCGTTCCCAACCCAGACAGCTAACAGCTGGAGTGCTAACTGCAGGTGAACCGTGGGGACTTGGCCTGAGCAAGGACTGTGTGCTTCTGCTGTATGCTGAACAGAGCAGCGTGGGACAGAGCAGCGCGTAGACACGACTGGCTCGCAGGCTGTCTGCGGTGGCGTATGAACCGCACCAGCGGCCGATCTGCGCAGTGCTTTGACCTCTGAGAGGAGCGGGCTGTGCAGGCAGCAGCTATCCTCAAGCGGCTCCTAGATGTCTGCTTTTCTCTGTGTACTTTCCCTGTCTCCCCCAACCCTGGAGAAAAATTAGGGCCCTCACTGCTCCTTGAGAACTTGGTTCAACTTCATACTTGTAGTTCTCCACTACTTCCTCTTAGCAGTTAAGTGGCTACAGGTGCACTCTGATGACGGGCTACACTGTAGCTGACCGCGTACGCTGCGTGTTTCTGGGCCGGTGAGAAGGAGCCCGGTGACGCCCCTTACCTCAAGCAGTTTACACCATGGGCATAAACAAAACAAAATCCCAATGAGAGAAAGTGAGACTGAGACACAGGCTAGCTCGGGGTCCAGACACACGCGAGGAACGTGGCAGAGCCATTGATTCCCACGCTGGCAGGCTGAAAGGATGGAGAGCCCAACAGCCTTTGAACATACAGGATCTCCTTGGTGTTAGGAAGCCACATGGTGACAAGGACAGGAAGAAAAACCTGCATTGCATAGATGAGAAGACCAAGATACGCATAAAGGGACTGCTGTAGCAAATACAGCGGCGTTCACACGTGACGCCTGGGGTCAGTGGGATATATTTCATTGCATGTACTTGTCAAGGAAAACAGTGACATTTTAGGCCATTTTTGCTGCTATAGTAGGGTACCACTGCTTAGGTAATCTTATTTTCTTTTATGCTTTAATGTATTTGGTACAGGGTCTACAGGGTCTCACTACACAGATCGGAATCACACTGATCCTCCTGTTTCAGCCTCACAAGAGCTGGGATTACAGGCACGTGCCACCACGCCCAGTCTCAGCTCTCCCCAGGGAGGCGGGCCTGGCATGACAAGCCAGGGGTGGAGCCCCGGTCCCTGTGCCTTCCTACGCAGGCGCTTTAGTCTTCTGAGCTATCTGGCCAGCCCCTTGATTGGGTTATTTTATAATGAACAGAATTTTTGCTTTTTAGCTCACAATTCTGTCCTATATGCGTGGGTTGTGTCTGGTGAAGACATTCTCGTGGCCAGAACAAGATCGAATGTGTCACATAGCTAGGGAGAGCCAGAGGGACCAAACAGGCTTTATTTTTCTTTATTGTCTAAAGTTTTTCTTCACAGTTTAGCAGCAAGTGAATGACTTAATAAATAAAATTATAATAATTGGTTTAAAATACCAGATCTGAAACAGTTTGGCTTGCTAGCCATTAGGAGCAGGGCATACAAGGCATGAAGTCTTACCTTTGGGATTCCGGTATTTTCTGGAATACCAA